GTTGGGCTTTTCCAACGACGCGGCCAGAAAGAAATCGTTTCAGCTCCGTTTCTCACCGTCCGTTCGTAGCGCGAATCGTCATGAGACTCTGAAACGCGAACGGAAAGGCGATGCGAGATCGCGTTGATGAATGCCCCCATTACACGAACACCGCTAGTTACTCCTCGGAGATAAACCGCCTTCATTACTCACTTTCTGGCGTGACCTTATTCCCCCCTACAGCCTCGCACTCTCTCCCTCTCCCCTCCCCTCTCCTTCTCTCCGCTCACCTCTTCGCCTTCTTTCCAACCTCGCTCTCCATCCTTCCCTCTCTCACGGCTATTAAGTTAACGCGAATTAATAACACAGGCTTTTTCTAGTCAACAGCCGCTTTCTTGCACCGATATACAGGTATTTTAGCGGATAATAAATTTTCACCTCGGAGAATATATATAATCCCCGAGATGCGAAAGCGCACGCATCAAGGGGTGGCGAGCTACTCTTAACAGATTGGATCGTTTGTCTTCGGGCTCGAACAACTGCGTTACGTTTAGATACGTATATTAATGCGACGATGCAATTATCAGTGGTAGGTAGACACACACGACCTACTTTGTTTTTTAGCTTCGTTACACGGCCGCGCGATCATTTTTCACTTCTGATTTACGGCTTGATTATCGGGAAACGGAAAGTTTATCGGTATTCGTTAACGAGAGAGGTGCTCTCGTACGCCGATAAATTTCCAAACGATCGCGAAACCAACCGCGCGACTTTCTTGCAGGACCGAAACTACCGCCAAGTATCGTTCTGTCGCAAGTTCTATCGTAAATCTTCTTCTTTTTCAAAAACGGATCGCGCCAATTCTTTTCGCCATTTTATTCTCTCTCTCTCTCTCTCTCTCTTCTCTCGAATAATAATAATAATAATAATAATAATACGTACTCTTTGCTAAAACGTAATGATTAATTACGAAGCTAGGGGGCGCGTATCGTTCTTTTCTCTTACGATCATCTTTGTACGCTCGAGAAACGAAATTGTACCAAGTTTACGAAATTTATTCGTTTCGTTCGCATTCTAAATTCGCGCGCATTTGTCAATATCGTTCAAATAAATATCAGGCAATTACGCTTAATGGGTCACGATACGAGTTTAATGAAACCAGTACACGCTTAATTGGATATTAAATTAACGACCACGACGTGTGAATCAAACAAAACACTGTAAATCCGGTTAAGAGAGAAATGATAATTTATGTTTCGCTAGACGGTAGTGTATTTTGCGATAAATTAATATATATATATATATATATATTTTTTTAATACCTCATCAATGCTTGCACTTTGAGATAATTCAACGTATAATTCAACGCGTAGATATTTACGGCGAGCTTTTTCTTTTCACGTTCAAAAAAAAAGGAAAAAAAAAAAAAAAAAAGGAAGGAAAGAAATTGGAATTTATCGATATCGATCTCGTATAAACAAGAGTACGTAGATATAATTATACGATATAATTACAAGGTTCGCGAAGAAAAATCGTATCCATTTCTTCTCATCGTTTTATTTTATATCGATACGGTATTAATTACATCGTTCAACGTTTCAACGTTTTCGATAGAACTGTTCGCAAAGATCGTTTGCGCCTTTTCCCTTATGAATATTTATTTCCATG